CTGACAGGTTTGTAGATGAATGGTTCTCCGCTCATTGCCGTATTCTACTCAAGATTGATGGACTGAACACAACGACTCAAGGTTGAGGGACTGATTACCTCATTCTCCTCCTGTTCTTCAAGTTTCTCCTATGTATGGACTGATGAAGCCACTGTGTGGCGAAACGTTTCCTCAATAAAGATACCCAAGAGTTGCACATGTGTCTAATTTATCTGCATACAGGAAGAGCGTGATCTGCAGATCCGTTCCAGTGTGATGGTGTCCTGATTTTCCAGGAACTGATGGTCCGGCATCTCTTAGTCTGGACAAAAATTACATGGGAACTTGATATTCCCTCAACTGCCAGACTAGTTTACTGGATAACCATAGATGGCATTGGGTGAAGCACAAGATCCCTTGATCTTGTGCAATTCTTAGCCTATTTTGCTTACATATAACCATAGCCATGGCTTCTAAGAAAGGTGCAAGTGTCAGTGGTGTAGCTGAAAGGCTTACTATTGTTAAAAAGTAGTGGTGCAGTAGTGTAGCTGAAAGGCTTACTAGTTGTCAGGTGAATTAAGCAAAGAGCTAGAATAATATACCTTCAGGGTGGAATAAGAACTAATCAGTACATATTTGGTGCATGAAAAATTACAGAAAGATCAAAGCACATGAAATAACGTCTTGGATGAAATGGTTAAAAAATCTCTTGGCTAAGAGATTGATAATCTTGCACCTTTTGTGATTGACTAATTGCATCAAACTACTTCTCCACATTATTTACTTCATCTTCCACCAACACTTATGTCTCAAGGAGTGTGATTCATTTCTATATATGACTGATGAAGCCTGTTGTGCAGGTGAAACATTTCATCAATAAAGATTCCTAGTGTTGCACACATATCTTACTTATCAATAACATAATTATTCAATTCTATAAGGCTTAACAAAAATGAAGAAATAGCAAGTCGATATACAGAGCTTTTAGAATATGTACTTTTAACATTACGTACAATAAAATGGAAAGAATACAACTTACTATATGTTATGGACATTCCAAGATATTTTGTTGCAAAATACAAATGTGTAACCAACTTGAAGCTTATTTTAAAATGCCAGTATACTATACTGTACTTTATAATAATAAGGTTCTTTATTTCTACAAGTACATGTACAAGGGTATAGAGGCCTAGATGACATCAATGACATCCACTACATATATAGAAAGCCCCCTTTTTAAATGCCGAGGATTTCAGGCAAATTAGTTTAATTTTGTCCGAGGATGTGACCACGCCATTTTGACTAACACCCCAGGTACCTATTTTACTGATAAGCGAACACAAATAGCAGGTGTCTTAAGGAAACACATTCCTAATGTTTCCATCCATACAGGATCGATCCCCAGACCTCGGCATAGCAACTGAGCTATGGTAGAGTATGGGCTTGCTTAAAGGGGGCAGCAATTATTAGTTCAGCCTACATTAGAACATTAGAAAAAAAGGATTATTATACGCTAAATTTAATAATATGCATTTTGAAGTTAAAAGAAATCCCCACTGATCTCATCGACATTCTTAAGTCATCAAACAATTCAAAGTCACTAATAACCCATACTGGTAAAAAGTTTTCCTATATGTATGTTTTGTGTGTATTTATTTTTATTATTTTTATCAACACATCAGTCGATTCCACCAAGACAGGGGCCCGAAAAAAAAAAACTTTCAACCATTATTCACTCCATCACTGTCTTGCCAGAGGTCCAGAGGCACTCTTACATTAGCTACAGTTGAACCCCGGATTTCATAATTAATCCGTTCCAGAAGGCTGGCTAAAATTTCTGAAATGGCTGAAAACCAAAGTAATATTTCCCATAAGAAATAATGTAAATCCAATTAATCCGTTTGAGCCACCCAAAAATATTAACAAAAAAAAAAAACTTTTTATAGAGAATAACTATAGTTTTACATACAGAAAACAATGAGAAATAAATATAAATGACTAATTTTAATGATAAATGAACATTACATACCATTATTGAAGACTCTTGTTGGTGAGTAGTATTTATTTGTAGTCCCAGGGGACTACATCCCAGGTGTATCCCCTACCGGATACATACACTGTGGCCTACAGCCAAAATTATTACCATCGACATACCATGTTCACCGAGTTTAATCGTTTTTAACAACTCCCTTTAGATGCCATCATAAAAAAAGGGGAGAAGTAATGAATAATTCATCCCAAAAAATTGTAAAGCAAAAGCTTATGTATAAAGGGTGGTTACTCGGCCAACGCAGATTCATAGTTTTTTCTAATGCTGGACTAGAGAAAACATTTGGTTTCCCCTCCACCCCATATAAACATCGCATTTTATAAGCAATGTAATGTGTTTCTTACATAATTTTGAGGAAAATATAACGGATGGATTAATGAAAATGTCTATATTAACATAAAGTAAGACATTTAATGTGCCCAAAAGTGATTATTATTATTATGTACTATTAGTATTACTATGGCGTTAAGCTAGAGCGACACTCCGGGGTGAACAAGTAAAAAAAAGGCATGTTTTTATGCTATGTAACGTTGTTTCTTACATAATTTTGAAGAAAATATCATAGATGGTTTAAATTTAAAATGTCTATTTTAAAACATAAAATAAGACATTAATGTCCCCAAGAGTGAGTCACGAAAGTATGAGCAGCCCAGGCAGATGGGATGTACGATGGGATGTACAAACTTGGGGGGGAAATTTTGCCAAAAAAAACTGCTCGAAATCCGAATGTATGCCCTCCTTCAGAGTGCAGGTATTGTACTTCCCATCTCCAGGACTAAAGTCCGGCCTGCCGGGTTTTTCCCCTGAATCCCTTTATAAATATTACCCTGCTCACACTCCAACAGCACTTTTCAAAGAATACACACATACAACACATTTTTTCCAAATAAATATACTGCAGCTCATCAAGTTGTATTCTATTACCTGCTTTTCTCTACAAACCTGCATGACTGCCCTTTTTAGTTCCAAAAAAGTACTAGTAATGTAAAAAAAAAAATTACAATTCTAAAAGGTTATCTCAAGCATGTAGTTTTACACACAGATCTCAAAATCATATTTGGGTTTGAACAGATTGGCTCTCAAACTGATTGTTCTATTTTAAAGCATCAAGTTTACTTTAGATTTAAGCAGGAAACAGCAAATTACAGGTCTGAGAAATGGATGAACCCAACACTGGGATAGGAAATTGCATTGTATTCTAATATACCTCAAAAATGGCCCCCGTCATGAAGATAAGATTAATAATCTCTACCAAGGTTCTCTCTACAATGGCTTTACAGATTTATAAAATTTACATAATGGCGGGTAATAAACACAAACTAGTTTTAGGTCTTTATACCAATGTAAATTATGTCCCTTTTTAACCAAGAAAATCCAAAATAGACATTAGGACATAGTTCTTTTGGGAGGAGTAATTCCTGAGCTTGTACCATCTCAAAGTGGATGTAGTGGACATGTATGTGGAATGTAACACTGACAAAGTTTAGAGCATAAGAAGTTAGAAGTCTAACATATTCATACCTAAAGCAGTCATGATGGGCTCCCAAAACTTAATCTAAATAATTTAAAATGAAAATTATAAATACTGTAATAATTGACATGGTTTTAATAACTGAATATTGCACTGCTACCCTTGATGCCAGTGAGGGGGCTTTTGATCCAAGAGCTGGGACTTCTCCCCCCTTTCCCTTTTAGAACTAGACCCTAATGCCCTTCCATTCCCCAGGGAGCTATATGACCACTGTGGGTTTAGTGCTTTCCTTCATAAAAACAATAAATTCATTTTGCAAAGCATTCAACTAATTATTTTATAGGACAGCCACATACATATTACGTAATTTTTATTCAGACATCAATTCATACTGCATAGTCATTACAAAGATACAAGAAACATTTTGTGATGCCCCCAAATTTAGAATTAAGTCATTTTGTCAAACCTTTTTTTTTGGCCATCCTAGATAGTAAAGTTTATTCGGTATACACAAATACAGTTACATAGAATTTCATACAAAAAGCAGCATATGTGTAGAGAACCTAGGAAAACCCAAAAAAGTCAGACAGAGTGACTTATTTCCATTGGGGTCCTTTTACCTTATTATTATAATATAAAGGTTATAATATTTTCTTATTCTACAATGAAGATAACTTTATTACATACTAAAAAGACTATCTACTACACGAGGGTCATTACTAGGAATTAAGGAAAAATTTTTACACGTATTTTAGCTAAAAAATAGAAAATCATTCCCCTCCCTTTCTGTAGCTTCATTCATCAGACACTTTTTGGCACTCTTCTTGAACTGGTTCATGGTTGACGGGCTTTGACATTGGGGGTTTAGTCTGTTCCATTCCTTTATTGCTGTACAATAAAAGGTGTTTGAAGCCTGGCCACTGACTGTGGGGTACTACAAAGTTGTGCTCTCTCCCCCCTAGTACTATGATTGCTTTGGTTCCCACCTTGAAAAAATTTTGACAGCAAGATATTTGGACACTGTTCGTGAGCAATTTATAAACATGATTTAGCTTCAGTTGTTTTTACTCTGTCTTCAACATTCAGCTATCCAACTGCTGTAATTTCATCTCTTGATCCCAGCCCCAGGATGAATCTTATGAATTGTACTTATGTGTACCTTTACCAAAATTAAACTTGCTTAGCCTAGGATATAACTCATAAATTCATCGAAAAAACTTGTGGTATTATTTGCAACCACAAATGTGTACAAACTTAAAAATTTATTGACATTCCACGAAAATTGCTGCAACTGGGTTTTTCCACGGACTATAAAGCCCCGGGACACTTGAGCAGCTACACTGATATTTAGTTACTATTCCAGATTTATATATATTACATAAATAAATAACAGCTGATCAGGGTGACTAGAGGCAACCATCAGCTGACTCAACAAAAACATTCACTGCAACGCAGTGATGAGGCAGTTACTGGTCTCAGTAATTCACTACAAACTCTTACCAAAGCATGTTCCCACAAAGGCGAGGAAAGCGAGCACACCCAAGATCCTCATAGCGACGAAATAAAAATAATAAAAAGGAATAGAGCACTAGAACACCCTCCCCCTACGACGTCAATGGTGTCACTGATGATTGATAATAACAATGCCAGCTCGCTGCTAGAATGTACACTGTTGCCACAACACCACAAACACAAATATAGTACTTTTATTTTTAGCAGCTTTGTGTGAATAAATAGTTTGATTTATTTGCTCTTCTATATCTGACTATGCGTTTTAGGTTGGAAGTGTTAATGGTAGGGGCCGTTGTTTTAGTGCAGATGATACTTTTAGGGAAAATTTACGTGGCACACTTATTTTCCTCCCCTTTACATTGATTGGTAGCAATAACAGTGGTCACTACCCCTTATCCCCAGGCAGTGATTGCTCGGAATGTAAGTAAGTAAGTAAGTTTATTCAGGTTATACACAAATACAGTTACATAGAATTTCATACATAGCAGCATATGTGTAGATAACTAGGATAACCCAAAAAAGTCAGACAGGTGACTTATTTCCATTGGGGCCCTTTTATAAGTAAGTTTATTCAGGTATACACAAATAAAGTTACATACAATATATAACATAGAAGCATATGTGTAGAGAACCTGGATAACCCAAAATAAAATATCTTTATTACTAAAAAGCACATTGTACATGGTATACAGGCCCTAGCTGACATGCAACATATAGAAAGCCGCTTGTTACGCAGAGCATTTCAAGCAAACTAAGGTCATTTGTTTGTTTCAAGATGCGACCCACACCAGTCGACTAACTCCCGGGTAGTAATAAAGGTGGTAGAATTACCGACAATATGTAAAGTGAAAGGACACAAGTGCAGCTAATGTGACATTTTATTGTGGCAACGTTTCGCTCTCCAGGAGCTTTATCAAGCCGTTGCCCAATAAAAGGGTCACATTAGTTTTGCACTACCTAGCAGAGTTTTACTGCCAGGGGGGAAATCATAGGCCTGTTTTCCCGTGTGAAAAATAATAATAATTGAACTTTGTGTCAGAGGAAAAGAAAGTCTCCTGAAAACATTGAGTATACATAGTGGGATAGTGTATACTACAGTGGCTCCCTAGTATATTGATGATAAAGGCTAAAGTGTCATTTGAAACAGGTGAATTTGTAAATGAAGTGTTTAAACCTATAGAGGCAGGTCAGAAGTCGCCAGAAACTTACCACAGGTCAGCTGTTTTTAAAAAATCTTCCTGGCCTGCTGTGTACTCGCATAAAATCTATGATTCCAGTGAATAGCAAAATACAGTGTTGTAGTAGCAACTAACCGTATTATAATGGTACTTAGTGGAGTTTGGGGGGACTTTCATTAGTTTCTTTTTTCTTGAAAATACCAGACGTATACTGTGATTTCATATAACCTGTAGTTACCAGCAGTCGCAAAATACACAACGAGAAGCAATTATTACTCCCAGAAAAAGCGTCCTTCCTCCAAAATTTGCACCAGTCAACTATAGTGATAATATAGCATTTATTGTGGTGGAGACGGAAAAAAAAAAAAAAAAAAAAAATAGAAAAGCTAATACAGCGACTGATAAACAGGGTTTTAGGTCGACCGTTCGTCACTGTAGGAGTTGCCAGCAGTCACCGGCTCTTCAACACGCAAGTTATTACTTTTGTATCAATCAAATCACATAATACTCGGGTAGATAATTTCCAGTAGATCCTTCATGTGTTAGCTCAAATCACTGACCAGTATGGTTTTAAATAAGTGACCCACTGATCAGATCAGAACGGGCTGGTCCGAACCCTTGACTGGTCCGAACCCTTGACTGGTCCGAACCCCCTTGACTGGGCCGAACCCCGGGGGACTGGTTTCAAACGGTTTCGTTGGACATAATAGCAGACTGTAAACGGATGGGGTTGTAGGCACCCTTATAAACACAAAACATTAAATACAAACATTAAATATATACCAGGGAAAGTGCACGGTAAGCTGTCCAATATACAAAAACAGTTAGAAACAAGAAATACAAATAGCTAGGCTTCACTTTAAGGAGGTTATAATTAAAAATATCCCCACAAAAAAGGTTTCTAGTAGAATTGCAGTAAATCAAAACCCTTCAAATCATTATGAAGCTGGTGTAGTCTGGGTCATTCAAACAAACGGGCTTCCACATGCATAAAATTGTCATTTTTGTGGAAATTGGTGTCACGCCCTTGTGCAGATATCCAAGAACTAGCTACAAGCAGTTTTTAAAACAGAAGTGTTTTTTGGGGATGCCCAAATGAGATAAATCTGTGGACTAAAATCACAAGGGTATTGTGGAAAATTTTTGATTTTCCGAAGCTTAGCGCCTAATAGGTGTTTAATGTGCGAAATGAGTCAAAAATGTATTTGACAATAGGGTTAGAACCAAGAGTTCCCTTTTCGCATGCGCGGATGTGCGGGGGTTTGGGGGGCGAAACGGGCCATGGGGGTGGCGGGGGGTGTTTTTTAATGGGGGAGGAGGCTGAGAAAACCGGAAATGAGGAAACTGGCGTTTCACGGGGGGGGCCCAAGGATCAATATAGGCCTCAATTCATAATAGGAAGTGTCGTGACTGTCCCTAGTGAAGAGTGAGGGAAACGTGATTTAAGGGACCACTGTAAAGGGGTGGTAAAATTATAAGTGAATAATGTTCGACCGGGTGGGAGGTGCACGGCCAGGGTGTGTGTCCAGGGGACATACCCGTGTTAATCCTCGCTCATCGCCCTCAGATCTAATGGAGTGACCTCTAATTTGTATAATATTATGAGACGTTAAATCGTCTTGTGAATGGTAATGTAATCAGTGATAAAAACATGAGTTAAGAGAATGCGGGATGTGAATGAGCGCCCTGCTCCGAGTGAACGTGTGACTCTCGTACCGGGATAATGAAGATTTTTGTAATCCCCGACTTCATAAACCGGGACAAACTGACGGATACCTCGTCCTGCCAGGGAAAGAGAACCGTGTCGGTGTAGCAGGACATCGAAATGAGATGGTGAATGGAGGAAATAAGGAGTATCAATCACCCCCATTAAGTAACCTTCTAGTTATAACAGACTCATGCTGGCCAGTTATGTTATTTTGTAATTGGATAGGGTTATGAGTGATCCCGCTACATCAAGTGACCCACCAGAAGAACAGCTTGGTAAGTGGTGGGATTATGTACAAATTGTTTTTTCCTTGATGGATGTATCCATGTGTATTCTACCCCCCCCCCCTTCATTCAGCTAAACTAATATAATATATACAGTCCACAATTAATTAGTAGCCACCGTACTTGTGGGTGCTATCCAATCCATACTGGTCTCGGATAGATATGGATAAAATTGTGAGGTCGAGGGACCACCTGTTTATTTACCAGGGGTGGTTAAGTTTTCTCACATGTCTACACGGGGTGACTACGGTAAACAATATGGTTGTCTCCCAATGAAAATTACTTGTAAAGTATAGATTGTTGAGGTACATACAGATTTAAACACCCTAGAAATTTTCCATATCTGCCCGTTGGTCCTTCGTGAACCGGATGCAATCAGTGAAAAAATTAATTGAATTAATTACTTAAATAATTAAGTGACTGATTGAAGGAAGTGGGTTTAGGGTCACAAGTTTAATCGATCGTGTGATGGATGATAATTAGCCCAATTAATTTGCTAGCACATGGGGGGCTTTGGATTTATACAAAGTTTAAAATGCAAGAATTACTCTTATAAGGCGCCACTTAAAATTGTATAATCAGGATTAATAATTCTCTAAAACCCTGACTGGATCTTAATGGAGTTTTAAAGTGGCTGACAAGTCCGTGAATTTAGAGTAATGAAAGCATCATTACAGGCTATTAAAAAGCCATGTGGGCGAAGGCATTTGATTTAATGAAATCAGAACCGTGACCCTAATGAATTAAAGTTATATTTAATGCTTTAGAGAGTAGATTTGATTGGTACAAATTGGGTTAAAGACTGTGAAAGAGATCTGCTGGAGAATTGTGCAGATGGAATGGAATTGAATGTTTTAATTAATCAACATTACGAATTGGAAGAAAAAAACTGTCTTGTAAAGTAAGGCTTTGAATCAATTAAATGGTGTAAGCCAGGCAGCTGATCAACTTTTTAATGCAAAGGGGGGGTTTGCCAAAACCTCCAGAGTACGGTCTGGAGGAAATCAGACTAGTCGGCAAGAATTAATTGTTTTAATTGTAGACAAGTCAGCCAAAAAGTTCTAAGGATATAACACATAATGACTCTGAAGTATCTGTCAAGTCTCAAAAGGGAAAAATAATCCCAGTGGTAATAATCATAATAAGAGATAAATAGGCAATATCAAGTGACAGGAATCAGTAATAGTGGGGTTTCCCCACATCAAGGTAAGAGGAATAAGTACCTCAGTAAAGGTAACCCAGTTAATAAAAAGGTCAGGCAAGGAAAAAGAGACCCGTCTCTTCTGCCAGGGTACTCATTTCACTAAAAAATTGTAATGCCCGTAATTCATGGGATATTAAAGTGGAAAGAATGAAAGAACTTGACAGATTTATCAGATGGGCTAGACAATCATATGTAAAGGAATTGTCATACCAAATTGAACAGTTGCTATCAATGCAACAAGGGAAAACACCATACAGTTATGTGCAGGGTTGTTTTGTGATTCTATTAATAATGGTGACAATAATGATAATGTTAAAAACCCTGGGCACTATCAGTGAAATGGATGTAAAGGTTCAGCTAATGGCAATAATGATGGCCTAGCTGGGGGTAGCCTTGCCGGTTTCTGGATGTAATAATTCAGGATAAAGGGCATAAAAACCAAAAGCATGCGGCGTCACTCTCCTCAACACTGGTACGGGCCATTACTTATGGCAGACATACCGCCTAAATAATAATGACTAGAAAGTAGTGAATACGTCACGGTGTCTTGCTCATAAAAGGTCAACCCAGTACAAGTATTCTTTATCGGGGAATTTATGTTGAACCAGTCTAATTGTGGGAGGGTGGACAGCATGGGGATTAATAAAATGAGTTAAGTCCAAATGATTCCTTTACTCAGGAAACAATACCTGAAGGATGGTTAAATGTGAATCTGGACCCTTACTGGGTGCGAAATTCCCGGGAAGCTCGACCGTCCAGAATTTA